GGAGTACTCATTTAGCAAGGTGAAAGTCAGTGATGATCTGGACATGACCGGTGTAGGGGGGAGGTGTGAGCCCAATGAGTTTAAATTTTTTTTTAACATTTATTCCTTTTTTGAGACAGAGAGAGACAGTGTGAGCAGGGGGAAGGACAGAATCCGAAGCAGGCTCCAGGCTCTGAGCTGTCAGCACAGAGTCCAACGCGGGGCTCAAACTCATGAACCGTGAGATCGCGACCCTAGCCGAAGTCAGACGCTCAACCAACTGAGCCACCCAGGCGCCCCGTGAGCCCAGTGAGTTTAATGATAAGAGGCAAGAACTGGAGCAGTTTCCTCTTTCAAAGGTAAGCAGAGATGTGCAGCATAACTGGAACAGTTAAGATACTTTTTGCTTTAAAAATGGGAGAAATAAGAGCATGATTGAATGCTAAAGGGTTTGCCCCAGTTGGAAAATGTGATAATAAGGAGAGGGTGACCTAGTGCTAAATGGAAACAACCCACTTAGACAGAAACACACACAGTATCGAGCAACAGTCCTTTACAAAGTAGATCCCACTGTCTTCAGATGAACAGCTTTACATACACGAGGAGGGAACACAACACACTCTGTTTTCCTGCTAAGAATTAAGAGAATTTTAATGCTACTACCTCTGAAGGGAATGAGGGAAGAAGGCGGAAGGGGGAATCTATTTTATAGATAAGAAACATGTTTAGATGACTTACCGAGATCATGTATAAGCTCTTTGAAAACAACAAGTTTTGGAAAACAAGTTATTTGGGTAGAAAGCTCTTGACTATTTTGCATGTCTGACAGCCTCCAAAAACAACATCTTCAGCACTGCCCAAATCATATCCCATATTTTTATACATATGTTTAAAACTTAGGTCTAGCATCACACACCAATTTCTATTTTTTCCCTTAAAATATATAGGTTTCCATCAATTTCCTCAACCTTTTTTTTTTTTAAACTCATTTCCCTTTTTGAAGAAGTGTATCTCCTCTTCCTTTTCCCTCACCCCCTCCCCGCCATGTGAGACTCACTGGCCTATATTCCATAAATGCCAAGATGCCCGGATGCTGAGAACACTACACTTACATCTTTAAGTTAAATCAACTTTCAGGATATGAGAATCCAAAGTGTCCCCAATTACTGTTTTAGGCTCAGGAAGAAAATTATTAATGGTGATGTTTCAAGAGAAAGTTTAGTCTGAAAACTGTATCTAATTTTATTACACAACTTAACAGAAGACATTCATTTTACCATTTTTCTAAGTGCATGCAATTATCTAGAATATACAATCAACTTTACCAATTTATTACAAAGAACACTAATCCTGTATATATGTATATTTTAACCAAAATTTTACTGTATGTGATAGTAAAGATCACAGATGAATTTAAGAAAACCTCAGAAAGAGTCACTCTACCAGCTTTCTGTATCTCAGGGTAAATATAATCAATTCTCTATTCTGTACTAAACTTCCATCTATGGCTAGAATCTGAGTGCTGATTACATACTAGATCATCCAATTTATTGGTCTAAGAGGTAATGGCTATACAATTTCAGTGGGCCAAAGAATCACCTGGGTGCATTTAAAATGCAGATACCTGGGCCCCACTCTCAAATTTATTCCAATAAAGTGGGACTGAACTAGTTGCCAGGAATCTGAATTTTTACAAGTTGTCTCATGGAGAAAGTAAAGTGTTAGTAAAGACTTGAAGAAGGTAAGTGAACGAGTCGTGAGGTGCTATAGAAAGTACTATTCAAAGAGTTCTCCCTGAGCAAGGAAGAAACATTCTAATGGCAAGCCCCAGATAGGTTTCAACTATTTGTCATAGGGCGAAACAGAGGACCCTGGAGTGCTGGTCCACACATTCCTGGTTCTCCAAGCTTCCAGTTTTAGAGTCAGGAAAGTGGGGCAAATCCTTGTTTAGGCTTGTATATAGACCACACCCAGCTACAGAAGGGAACTGCTGGCCCTCCCAGCCTGTGCAGAAATACCCAACTCATCTTTTGGTGGGGCGCTTCCTTCTGTTTAGGGACCCAAACACTTCCAGAAGACAGCCGTGGTCCCCTACGTAAATTGTACTTCTCCATGGGACTGGAGCTCACAGATGGAGGAATTGCAAACCTCTTTCCCACCCTGATTTCGTCTTTAATGCAACATTACATTAAATGTCATTAAGAAACATCATCAAAGATCCTATCTCTGCTGTCAATTTACAATACTATGAAGTGACCCAGGACAACACAGAAAAGAGTAGCAAACTTTCTTTCTTTTTCTTTTCTTTCTTTTCTTTCTTTCTTTCTTTCTTTCTTTCCTTTCCTTTCCTTTCTTTTTTCTTTCTCTTTCCTTCTTTCTCTCCTTCTTTTCTTTTTCTTTCCTTTTCTTTCTTTCTTGCTTTCTTTTCTTTTCTTTTCTTTTCTTTCTTTCTTTTTTTGTGGAAAGATGTTTGCAAATGTTAAATGCTGTGAAAAGGACAGTAGTGCCTTTTACTGCTCCAGAAGACAACAGTGTTTTATTTCTTTTGTGATTGGTATTTTTCTTAAAAAGAAAAAAAAAAATGAAAGGCAAGAAGGTAAAGAGACAACCCTGAAGCTCTGTCAAATCATGAGCAGAAATTATTCTCTGCAACTGTGTACTGTTCTAGAGGTGGAAAGGAATTTTAAAAGATATGTCATAGTTCCTGCCCTCAAGGGGACTCAACATTCTTGTTGGGAAGACAAGACAAATATATAAGAAGATAGACAAGTTACAGCACCAGAGAAAATTACGGCACTCACAGAAAGATGAGGGACTTACCCAGGGCCTTGAAGACTGGCAGGGGGAAGGAAGCTACGGAAAAGGCATGACGCAAGGGGCCATGGCTCGCCAGCAGGCAAGAGAAGCCCAGTGTAACTGAGGGCCGGGAGTCCAGTAGGCTGGCAAAGTAGGAGACAGCAGCCAAAGAGAAGACTTGACACCATGCTGGACAGACAGCCTTGAAGGTCAAGTCGAGGAGTTCAGAATTTGTAGACAAAAAAGAACGTTCAGAGAGTTTCACACAATGCAGCATTTGGGAATATTAATGTGTTAAGAAAAGTACAGGACTGATGCGGAGCTAGAAAGCTACTGGAAAAATCCAGATACCAGGTGAAGGAGACCCAGGGAGTAGCAGCACTAATTATTACTAGTTTTACCTGCTAGTTTCATAAAATACAATGAAACTGAGTTGTGCTACCGATGTAACATCAAGATTCTTTCAAAGAATGTTATCGAAATGAAAATCTGGGAGGTGTGTGAAGTTTTTGAAACCTTCCCAAGTAATCCATAATTTTTATGATAAACATTATGAAGAGGAAAGAAATTTTATTGTTTTTACATTTTACTTAAAAGACTGTGACTTGCAGTTCACTTTCCATATCCAGTCAGTTCTGCATTGTGCTTTCAGACACTGCCCCCGAACCTTCTTTGGCCTACTAAACAGAGATAAATCTAACTTCAAAGGAGTTCATTAATTTCAGGAAAATGAAAATCTTGGCTTAACCTTAAATACTGGAAACTCCCAAAACTTGACAGCAATCCTGTAGACATTCCAGACCCCCTACTGTTCAAAGGCTAATGGATGAGTTCCTAATTAATCATCAGACTTGTAGAAAACGTGTAACAAGTAAAACTTCCCCGATTTTATCAAGCAGTGCATTCCTAGAGGAAGAGCCTCTAAAGAAGTCGGTTTGAGTACCAAGATTTTGAATGAGTGGTAACCAAATGCCTCTAATTCATTATAGATAACTGCCTGGGAAGAGAGACAAATTGTTTAAAACTAATTTTTTTCTATTATTCTTGTGTTAGGGGCATGTCAAGGCTGTGGACCATCCTGGACATGGGGAAGCAGAGCACATTTTATTATTCTGTAGCCATGAAAGCCTCACTGCAATGATTACTCTGTCTGAGCTGTTAAGAACTCTGTTTTTTGTGTTGTTTTTTTTTT